TCTCCCAGCGCAGGCAGCCATTTGCATGAGAAAGGCACACGTCCCCTGTTACAGCCCGGCTATTGTCTCCTCCCAGGGCCCGTCAAGGGGAAAGCATAAAAATGCTCGCTTGAAAACCTGGCCGTGAATGAAAGGCCAGAAGTGGCAGCTGTCCCAGACACCCCGGTACGGAGAGGCGAGGCCAGTCCCCATGGTGAGCCCGCAAAAATCTCGGCTGGTTTTCTGAGACGTCCAGGACGCTCCAGAGCTGCCATTTCCTCTGCAGATGCAACAAGAGGGCACGGAGTCACCCTAAAATATTTCCCACTGCTAGAAAAGGGGAAATCAGCCCAGAGAAACAATGGCAGAGTTTACAGCGGAGGGGGAAGAGGAATTCAGCCTCAGGGAACACTGGAGAGCAGCAGTTAAACAACACCAAAGGTCATGCCCGGTCCCTTTATCCTACTGGGGACAGACTACGAAAGAAATTTTTCTTCCGTGGTCCTTTTACTCAACTTAGCTGAGCCATACAACAGCCCAGCCAGCCCCTGTGGGAAGGGGCAGGTCACGGACCACCTGAGCACACCACGGGCTCGGATCTCCGTTTGCGAGGGTGAAGCCGCCCGTGCGGACACGTCACTCGTGCTCACCAGCAGCCGCCGAGCCCGCGGCCCCGCCGAGCCCGCGGCCACCTCCACCTCCTGCGTGGCCCGCGACACGGCTCCAGCAGCAGTCTCCCTGGGGAGACTCTCGCACGATCCCCCAAGACATCTCCTCCTGCAAGGCATCCCATCGGAGCCAGGGAGCTGGGCCTGCCAGAGCCCAGGAACAGGCGAAGCCACAACAGGGCTCCTCAGAGACGATCTCTCACTACGGACGAACCGCAAGCATGGTAAACTCTGCAAGACACAGGTCCCCGCCTTTAAGATTCTAGTTGCCTTTATAAAGGCAGAAGGCAATGTTTGAAGAGCAATAGCTCAGTGTGCCTGGCATACAAGAGACCAGAACATGCAAATGACCTCCTCATTCCCTGTATCATTAGCGCTGATGGGCTTTCTAAACAGGAGACTGGGCAATTAGCCATTGCAGCCTCCCAGAGTGCAATAGCTGCACGTCAGGGAGACAATGATCTGAACCATCACGAGTTCAGAGACCGACTTCATCCTCCCAGTGTGAAATCAGACCCTCTCTCCTGAAAGAAAACCAGAGGATTTTTTTGTTTGAAGATTGATAAACTGCAGCAATATTCCTGAGCACCCTGCAGGTCCCCACTCAGCCGGGGCTCAGAGACATGTTAAGGATCCCTGACCCTGCCTGGCTGATTATTGTCTGGAAGGGGAGGATAATGCAGATCCCACTGATAGAAAAAAACATGTTTCTGACACTAATATAGTGCTCATTAGAGTCCAGCCCAGAAAAGTGACAAGTGGCAGAGACAGGAATTAAAGTACTGGTGGCAGACTCAGAGACACTGGTAACGACGGGCTCTGGCAGTACCGTGGTCCAAAGCCCAGACCCGAGAGCTCCAGGGCTGCAATTACAAAAGAAGCAGCAATTAGTGACATTAGCCATTAAAGTGAGTGGCACTAAGAGCAAAGCAGACCTGTCGAAATAGTCAAACAGAGCCGCCATCGGGCCAAGTTCCGCTGCGCAGCGAAGACCTGGCTGTCCGCACGCGAAATGCCAGGCTGAAAAACACGTAGTGCTACCGCTGCCAGCACCAAGGTGCCCTGCGCTGCTCCGGGTTCCCCGGCTCTGCCCACAGCAGCACCACAGCCAGGCAAAGCCGGCTGCGGTTTCTCTCCGAGAGGCATCTCCAGCCCAGCCCGAGGGGCAGAGCTTTTACCAGGATAACCCCTGTCCGCACAGAACACCCTCCCGTGGCAGGCTTTGCCACAAAAGGAGATCCCGCCATCCTTACAGGCAACGCCTCAGGAAGGTTCTAGCCAAGTGAAGGTCGCAATTTGTTCTTCAGAAGTTAGGGTATGACAGAGCCTCACGATGGGGAGGGCCCCAACTCTCTGACCCTGACGGGCAACAAGGTCAGGGTCAACGAGTTGTCTTGAAATGACACAAAGCCCTGGCTGCCAGAGAGGAAGCGGGCAAACAAGGAGAGACGAGGCATCCCGCCAAAGCTGGAGGGAGACAGAAGGCAGCAGAGGGAACTGCCGGCCACTCCTGCAACTACCCCTAGTCCAGCCCTCCGAGGGACACCGAACATGGCACGGCCATCAGCCCCGGGACTTCTACAAGCTTCTCTCATGGCTGGAGCATGTTTCTCTTGCTTGTGCAACATCGCTGCAAAACGTTGAAGTGTAGGAAAGGAGGAAACGGTTCCATGACATGGAACAAGCAACCGTCTGGAAAGTGCATGACTGAAACAACAGCTAATCAGCTTGGACAATTAACCTCTGCTCCTAATTCTTACGATGCACGTACAAAAATGAGTAAATTACTAAACAGCCCAGCTGGCGTACCTTCAGGATGGACATGATCAGGGTGAGGGGAATGGTATTTGCATGGGCTGAGGTGGCATTTCTGGGCCCCTCTCCAGATCTTATTACTGGAAACCTGTCACTCAGGAGGAGGCTGTTCTGCTGGATTTACTGGCAGAGGAATCCCCAGCTCAGGCAGGCACAGGGTGCTTCTGCCTTATCCAGATCCTGTGCCCTGTCCCACATACGCAGCTCACAGAGGTTCAGAGGAGCTGGCCCAGATGCAACCCTCAACTCTGGCAATTGGGAGGCAGCTCTGGAAGCTCCTTGCAGAAGTGCTGGCATCTCTGGGGGCGCATCACCGAGTGTCTGGGGTGGGAGGGCGGGGGCTGCAGAGGCAGCCTGAGTAGCTCGTCCAGGCTTCTCACAAGCATGCTGGAAATCACGCCTGTGGCAGCTGACAAGGGAGACAAATGGGAGCCAGAAGTCTCTTCCTGGCACTCCTGCCATGTCACAAGGGCAGTTGGCATTGCCATAACCTGCCTGTCATCCCTTCTATGGGGCACAACAAGGACTAGGAGTGGCAACCGATTCCCCCAGCACAGCCAGCACACGCTCTGGCTTTGGGGAACACGGCCAAGGGCTGAACGAACACAATTATCTTTATGAAATGTTGCGCATTTCAGGTTTGCTGTGCATAAGCAGCAGATCCCTCCCTGACTGCTCAGCTACCAGATAAGGTTTCTCCCTACAGGGAAGGCTCGGCCTGTACACTTGTGAAGTTTAATCGAGTGGAGATTTTATCTTCAGAAGCTGGCGCAAAAGGAACGCTGCATCCATGTCCTCACCGCACGCACGGGGCCCGGGGCACACGCCAACCGGCTCCTTCAGAGCTCTCCCTCCCACAAAGCCTCCTGCCGTCCCCATCAGCCGTGCCAAAGCACACTAGCACTGTTTGGTGGGGCGAGAGGGGCATCCTTGGCACCACGCTGGGTGAGGGCTGTTAGAGAGTCAAGCCATCACAGGCAGAGGACGGGGTGTGACTGCCCCGCTCCAGGGAGTTTCTGCTGGTCTGTTTATGTGACTGCCTCAATAAGGAGCTTCCATTTGCCCTAAACACACATTAAATCAGCATTAAAGCAGCATCAGGAGGTGCCACAGGTGCCAGAGAGCAGCCAGAATGACAGAAGAAACGGGGAGAGCAGAGTGGTGCTGTCCTTGCCCACAGGAGAGAGCGGATCAGCTCCGTGCTGTGGGACAGGGGTTGCAACAGAGCAAGGAACAAATCCACCCCACAGCAAGCCCTTCCTTGCCTCCAAGGTTGCAGCAGCCAGCAGGGTCAGCTGGTTGTTGCTAACGGCACCATTCCTACTCAGCACCCCCCGTGACTCCCAGGACTCCCCACAGATTCGGAGCCTCTTGGATCCGTAGGGGAGAAGGGACGGATGCTGCCACAGGGCACGCTGCCCTTGCTGCAGGAGAAGCAACCTCCATCCCTGAGCGACACAGCATCGCAGCACCCCCGCACCATGCCCAGCCCAGCAAGACGATCCTCCCGGGGACTGTCACGGCATGGCACGGCATGGCATGTCACGGCACATCATGTCTTCTCAGGTCCATCCTCCACCCACCCCAGCATAAGCATATCTGCTGCTGTTTCTGCTGCAACTCTTTCAACTTCTGTCTGACTGGTTACTGACCTGCCTGAGAATGTGACCCAGCTGCACATATTTTTAGGCTTAACTATGTATTTGTGCTGAGGCAGAACACAAGTATGCTGGTTTCAGGCTCCCAGCCTCAACAGGGAGCATGGGAGGAGCTATTTCGGTATGGAAAGGGCAGCTCCACATTTTTTCTCTGCCTCAGAGTGCAAGTGGCATTGAACTCTTCCCAAGACAGAACTTGCTCTTGCACTTTGGAAGAGGCAGCCATGGCAATCCCAGAGCCACACACTGGGAATTCAGGCACAGCCAGCCTCAGCATCCATGGAGATGCCATCGCTAAACTCGGCCCCTTTCTAGCTCTCTAATCTCATCAACATTCCTCGGTAGTTCCCCTAAAAAAGGATCTGTTATCGCAGCCTGTAGGTTCCCACACAGGCCATACCAAGGCAGACTGTTTGCTGAGTACAGGCAAAGAGGGAGGCGGAGGGGGATTTGCAACTCACAGTGTTATTCTTGTCTTGAAAGCACATCTGCGTAAGAGACAGAAGCCCCGGCGAAGGACTGGCAGCCGCGCAACTCCCCTGTGGCGAGCTGCAGCACAGAGGGGGGCAAAGTGGCGCTGCTAAACCTGGGGGCCCTGATCTTTGCGATGTCGCAGGTTGCGGTGGACACTGCGGCTCTCGGCAGCGGTGCGTCCTGCTGGTCCACAAAGGACAGAAAAGTCCTCTCCAGCAGCTTTCCAAGGTGGCAACGATCATGTGCAAGGCACAACGCCAGGCCTGGGCCTCCCCCTGAGCCACTGGCACAGATGCCCCTACCAGAAACGGGCAGCTCTACTCTGCACCGGGATCCGCATCAGCAAAAGATGCACCAAGCAGATAAACGGCCTCACATCGCTGCTCTGCCTGCACTTTGAGGCCACAGGCACAGAAGGCAGGCAGAGCCTCCCGGCACAAAGGGGTGCGAACCAAAAGCAAAGAACTGAGCGCAGGCTGCCATGCACAGAGTAGCTTCCTCCGCGTTACTATTGGAAACAAAACAAAACCCTCCGAGGTACAGGGCAAGGCCTCAGACCTGCCGGCACCGACGCTGTAGCACGCTGGCCTTGCCGAGGCATCGGGCAGCAGCGTTGCCTGAGCCCCTCTCCGACCCTGCTGGTAACCAGCACCGGGGAAGGGGCT